CACACACACACACACACACACACACACACACACACACACACATGAACCAGGCTGAAGGGCCGAGTGTGTTTGCTCAGCTGAAATGAGCTCTTTGGGGGACCTCAACAGTTAGCTAACGTCTCAAACACTGCGTCGGTTAGGTTAGCTAACGTCTCTTCCTGACAGTTTTATAAGCATTTCATCAAAACCAACTAAACCAGTAGTTTAGTGGTCAAATGTGAATTACAGCCTGTGGCCTGTGCTCATTGTCTGATCTGTTGCAGCCCCGTCGCTCAGGTTAACGTGTGCAGGAGGATGACATCATGGGCTCCAGTGGGACGTTCAGCAGCTCTAACTGCACAAACAGTCAGTCAGCAAAGTGTTTATGAGGACTTACAGAGTTACTTCTCCCCAGAAAGGACAGTATCAAACTGCTTTTGTTCTTTTTGTGAAGAATAATCCTTGTGTGAAAAGCTAAAATGTTGACCTGGAGCTCGTCAGACGTTCCAGAGAGAGGACAGGCTGGATTTATTCAAACCTCATGTTTCAAACGTGAACTCCTGTCGCTGGTTGTTGGTGCGCCGTTACACAACATTCAGTTTTATGAGCTTTACAACAAACCCGGTGGATGAAATCTGAGCTGAGAAAGGGACTTTTTTAATCTGCTGAAGAAACAAAGTCAAAAGAAGCAGAACAATGGCTAAAATGAACAGGACAGAAGCTAAAAAGCTAAAAAATAAAAGCTAATATGAGCCGAACAAAAACAAAAATTTACCTAGTGGGCAAAAAAGAGACAAACAAAAGCTAAAAATTACAGAACAGAGGCTAAAATTAAAAAAATTAAAGCTAAAATTAGCAAAACCAATGCTAAAAAAAGTTTAACGTAGCAAAAATCTAAAAGTAGCTAAAATCATCAGTTCACTGTTAAAAAATATAAGCTAATATTAGCAACTAAAAAAACAATCTTTAACCAGCAAAACCATTGCCCAAAGCTAAAATTAACAAAACCGTAGCAAAAACCAAAATGTTAAAAACTCAAACTAGCTACGCTCAAAGCTAATATAAGCAAAGTATAACTAAAGTTCTGAATCAGCCAAACAGTAGCTAAAAGCTAAAACTAGCAAACAGCTGATATCTAATGATTTAAAGACGTTCTGTGAGAATCCAACGATGACGTCATGCTTTGGACTCAACAAGGACGATAATAAGACAGAATTTACTGAAGGGTTTTTATTGATGTTCAATGCAAACCAGTCGCATTTCATTACAACTAATTACAAAACTTTTATTTTGAGATAAAATCAAAGGATCACAAGATCAACACTGTTGTTTCTCTAAGAACAGGTAAATGTAATTTGGTGATTTGGCTTTTATTGCATATTTACAAATTTACAGTTTTGGGCCGTCTTGATTTTCACGTCTGATTGATTGATGGATATTTTATTTTATTTTATTTCAGCTGAAGTTCTCATTAGGTTTTATTTCACTGATGTGTCTGGACACAAAACCTAATGGTGACTAGTTTATTTTTCACAAAACGTTTGTCTTCACCATCTTTCTTCAGACAAATTACTAAATGAATGGATCCAGTTTGTTTTACTGTTTAAAATAAAAATTAGTTTTCATTTTACTTTTGACCAACTGCAGTAAAAAAGAGCTGTTGGTGAACCAGTCTTCAGAGTACCTGCTCTGAAGACATTTTCACTTTTAATGACCCAACAAAGAGCCAGTCGATGGGCCAGGATGGGCCAGGATGGGCCAGAAACATTTAGCAACAAAAAACTTGTTGAGTTTTTTAAACAAGTCATGAGACGTAAAGTTGAGATGGAACTAGTTCAGTTTAAGGGTCCTCCACTATAAAGGTTCTGGTGGTTTAAGTTCTAGTGGGCTCTTTAGGGGACTGGATTTTATCCACTGATTTGATTGATACACGAGTTTTATTAGAATAAAATGTCCAAATGTTCCATTTTCAGAGCAGATCTTCAGTCTGTGTGAGATTCCTCCTTCGTTTGAGCCGGGTTATAAAGACTTTCAGGTCATGGTTCTGGTTCTCTTCCTTCGTTTGATCCGGGTTATAAAGACTCTTTCAGGTCATGGTTCTGGTTCTCCTCCTTCGTTTGATCTGGGTTATAAAGACTTTCAGGTCATGGTTCTGGGCCTCGTTGGACCACAAACCCACCGTCGCTCTGAGTTTCTCTCTACCGTCTCTTGGACCCGGCAGCAGGCGTCACGGCTCGCTGCTGAGGAGCGTTGGTTCGATCGTGGGTGTACGACAAGCCAGGGGGTCCGGGGGTACCTGGTGGTCCAGGTGGTCCCGCTGGCCCTGGTTTACCCCTTGATCCTGGTGGTCCAGTGACACCTGGCTGTCCTACCTGGCCCTGGATTCCTGGAGACCCTATGAGCCCAGGTGCACCGTCTGTACCAGATGGACCCATATCACCTTTCTGGCCCCTTTCTCCTTTGGGGCCTGGGAGACCAATGGACCCCTTGGCTCCTTTGATACCTGGGGCTCCTCTGGTGCCGACAGGGCCTGGTTCACCTGGTGCTCCTTTGGGGCCAAGAGAGCCCTTCACACCAGCAGGTCCACTGCTCCCTATTGGACCTCTGTCACCTTTGCTGCCTGTCAGTCCCCCCGGTCCTTTAGACCCAGGGTCGCCACGGTTCCCTTTGGGTCCAGGTGGTCCAGGAGCCCCTGTTTTATAAATACTGTCAATTAATTTCAAAATAAAAGAGACGAAACATTCTGTTTGTGTCTGACCTCCATACCTTTAAGAATGGTGAAGTTTTTAATAACCTGGGTGTGGAAAACGTCCACGAGCTTCATCTCCTCCATGACCATGGACAAGTTCCTCACGTCCATGTCCAGTCGGACGTTCAGCAGCACGTTCTGCTGCCTCAGCGTTTCAGCTGCGGTCCGGAGCAACAGGACGGTGCTGTTCATGTACTGCAGGAAGAACAGCAGAGGTAAATGGAACTGAGAACTCTGATTGGACCCTACAAACAAAGAAAACCCAACATGTGAGGCAGATGAAGCTCTAATGTGGCTCCCCAGAGGGGTCTACACCTGAAGGTCCTCTGTGTGTCGACCCAGGCGGCTCTGGCAGGAGGAGCTCTCCACGTTGATGTACTTGTACATGCTCTGGACGTGGCTGACCGTGGCGTTGATGCTGGAGGCGATGGTGTCTATCTCCATCTCGATGGAGTTCAGACGGCCGTCCGTGGCGGAGAAACGCTCGCCCGTACGGTTCTCATAGTACCTGAAAGAGACCGTGGCCGTTTGTGTCCGGTCGCAACATTTCACCACGTCTCTTACCGAAGGGTTCCGCCCTCATCCCTCACCTTGAGTGGTACTGAAGGTCGTGCAGGTTCTCCTCGTTTTCATCCATGAAACCCGTCACGTTGTCGAGCTGCATCTGGAGGATCAACACCTGCGAGGAAAGGTTGTGTAGTTACAGTGGTGGGCCAGGTCCAATAATCAACCAACAGCAGAAGTTCTCATTTAGCGGATTAGCTTTCTTGCTAACTTTGGAAAGCGTTAGCAGATAGATTAGCTTCCACAAAACTGGCTACCTGTGGCTGCCTGATCCGTACCAGAAGCAGGATCTGTACTGTCCAGGAAACTTTGTTTTTAGCATGTAGCATTTCGCTAACGGACAGAATTCATTGGATTTCAGTCTTTTATCAGCTGCAATGTTTCATAGAAAAGGCAACGTTTGCAACAGATGTGGATTTTTATTCCAGGACACATGATTGTCTAGAAAATAGTTAGCAAGTTATTATAAATAAACATGTACCCTCATTTTATTACTCAAAATGTGTCCAATATTAAAACTGTTTTCAGAATATAACGTAACACATTTATAATTAAGTATAGAAATAAATATTTTCGGTATTTTTTCCTAAAATGAGCACATTCCAGAAGTCTATCATTTAGCACGAATGAGCTGACCGGATGGATCGTGCTACCGCGACAGATCAGGCAGTCACACTTCCGCTAATTTTAAGTCCACTAAAATATTCCCAAGTGTAAAAACTTAGATTTTTATGGTGTTGATCCCAAAATAAATCAAAACTATCCCCTCTTACAAGTGGTCCTGGATGTGTCAGGTACCATATGTGTAGCATGTAGCATCTTTAGCAGCTAACATTTGAACTACGAGAATCAAAACGAATTAAATAATATTTAGTAATATTAAAGTAAATTATGGTAGAGCAAGTATTTGCTATTTGTTGTCAGACTAACTTCAAACAATATTTATAAAATGCAAACTTGAGCAAAGAAATGCTTTTATTCTGAAAACAGGATGTATCACAAGTTAGACAGAGCTACAACTCTGGGTTGTACTGGCCGACCCACCACCTTCAAATAAAACCAATAGAATCAAACTAACAACAGGTTTGTGTTGGTCCTGCTAACCGTCTTAGCAGTTAGCGTTAGCGAAGCTAAGATTTGACAGATTATGGTGAAGCTAACTGTGGTTTCTGGTTTGTGGCCACCTCTGCGCAGTTATAAGAACTGAATCCCACCCTTACCTGCTGCGTGAGGTCAAAGATCACCTCCGACCACATGGAGATCCTCTGCTGGTCCATGGTGACGCTGTTTTGAAGGAAGCGCACGGTTTGTGCCGTGCTGCTGGCGTTAGATTTGATGGCTCCCAGAACCCGGCTGTAGTTCTGCCAGTCGCTGGTCAGCCTCTGGAGGACCAGACTCTCCTCGTCTGCTTTCCTCTGCAGGGCGTCGATCCACGTCTTGCTGAGGAGCCCACAGGGAACACTGGTGGTGTCACACTTTGAACACAATAAAATCTGTTGTGTGATATTTGTCTTCCGTTCACCTGAGAGCTACAGTTGTGTTAACTTGCTCCGCCGTGGCTTTGATGTCGTACTGATCCTTCATCAGCGTCTTCATCTTCTCGTCGGTTTCTTCGATCACCTCCTTCCAACCGTCCACTTGATCCAGGAATCTTTCCAGGGACTGGTTGAGTAGTTTGATGGACACGAGGTGGGTTTGGACTTCCCTGGTCAGCTGGTTGCTGGTGGCTTTTACCGTGCTCTGGGTTTGGGACGCGTTGCCTAAGACCTGGAGTGGATAGAAATCAGAAGTTCTATCAGAATACTGAGGAATACTGGGGTTTTATTGATTTGTGAATCTGGCTTTTACATTTATACCTGCTCTTGTCCCAGTATGATCTTCTGGATGGCCTCAAATCTAGTCTTCAGCCTGCTGATCTCCTCACTGTACAACGACACATCCAGGCACCCTGAGCAGTTGGATACGGACCTCAAGTCTGAGACAAGAAGGAAGACGATGAAGTGAGAAGAAAATCCATCTCATCTGATAAACCGTTGACCAGATTTGCTTTGTAAATTTGTTTTCCATCGTTTCTGAGCAGAGTCTGTGTAAAAACTAAAAACAGATACCTTCTATGCCTTGTTGGACCTTGGTGATCTTCTTCTTGTACACCAGTTCCTCCTCAGATAAACTGTCCACCTTTTTGAACACTGAAGCCACAGAGAGAAAAGAAGCTAAAGTAAATGTTTAAATGTCCTGAAAATACACAATATAAACTGAATGTTTCAATGAAAAGAGAGATTTTAGTATGAGGTGCTGTTTGTACAGTTACACAGTCAAAAGTTACCACCAATATTTTTGTTTTATTTAACCTTTTATAAGAAAAAAAGAACAGATTTATTTTTCCAAGTCAGTTTTTCACCATATGATTCATACATTTATAAATGTCATAGTTTATAAACTAAATATTTAACTTACAAATTAAATATTTAGTTAACAAGATAAATATTTAACTTGTGACTTAAATATTTAGCTAGCTACCTAAATATTTAGGTTGCAACTTAAATATTTAAGTTAAATACTTAACTTACTAGCTAAATATTTAAGTCACAAGTTAAATATTTAGCTTGTTAACTAAATATTTAATTTGTAAGTTAATTTTTGACTGTGTAACTTTACAAACGGCAGCACATATTCTAGTTAATTAAACTTCACTACATAAATCAAACCAAAATTAATAAAAATAAATGTGTAAGACGACGTCTAGGAACTCTCCAGGAAGATTATTAACTTCAGTTGTTCTTTGGCAGCAACAGGAAATGGGAAGAATTTAAAGGAGCAAAAAGAGGAAGTTGTAATTTAAGCCCTGAAAAGACAACATGTTAAGTTTTCATTAGGTAACAAATACAAGTAAAGCACATAAATATTGATGCAGCTGTCCAGGTCCTGACCGCTCACATATTTCCCAGGAGAGCAATAGTTTAGTTTGTGTCCGAGTTCAGGTTAGTGAGGAAACACGCTTGTTTGGTGGTTTTGTTGGGTCTTTTTCAGCATTTTAAGCTCTGACTCTGTGCTGTGCTTTGTTTCACATCTCTAAATGTTTCCACATGTTCAGCACATACCATCTGCCCACTTACATCAGATACGCTGACAGTGATGAAGGACAATGTGCACGGCTCGTGTTCGTTTGTTGGAGAATTACCTCAGGAGTTTTTATTACTTTCTGTTTAAGGTAGTTCCCAAAAACACAAAAATGAGTTCTTTATTTATTACAAATTTGTCATCATCACAGTTTCAGTAAAACAACAGCTTGGACTAAAATAAATCACAGACAAACACTGATAATATGTGACCCATTAAATAAAACAACTCACCAAGCCAAACTAATACCTAAAAATGTGACAAAGACAACTTAAATACACAAACAAAATCTATTTAAATACTCTAATTATGACATAATAATATAATACATAATTAAAATATAATATATAATTATGTACTTTCTTTGAGTGCTTATGTTGAGCATCTCTGCACAGAATAAAACTTGCTATTAGAACATTTGTCTTTTTATTCACAAAGTGTTGAACTGTTCTGATGTAACTTCCAGTTATAATCACCGTTCGATGCAAATACAGATTTAAAAAGTGAATTTGTATTAATTTGATTTTGATTTGTTGTGCTTAAAGTCAATAATTAGTAAAATAAAGCTCAGAAGTAATTAGCTTATGATAAAAAAATGTAATTTTCACTATTCGATGTGTAAACAAAAAACTACCAACATAAAAACATAAACAAGATTTTTATAGGTGACCAAGGTTTAGTCAACTGCTGCAGCTTTAGTTTCTATCAATAAAAGAGAAGTTTGAAGTCTTTAGAACTACTAAATAATCAATAATCTACTGAAAAACACAAAATAAAGGCAGCAGCTGAAGTCCAACAGCCACAGGCTACATGTGTTAGCAACTAGCTTAGCTTATTTGCTTGGTTAGCAAGCTGTTATTCTGAGAACAAATTTAAAATGTTAGCTGAACATTTGTATAAAATAAAAAAACATCTTGAATTCTATTATATTCAGGACTGATGTCCAGATGTTTTACTTTTTAAACTTTTAGGATTTTACTTGGAAGTCTGAGTGCGCTGCTACAAAGAGTCCAGTTTGTTTAATATGTTTTATAAAATAATACCAACACACACTCACACTCGGAGCAAACCTGAATCTTATCCTGTCTCTACCTGAATACAGGTTTTTGTTTTGGGGGGGTTGTAGCAGTAACCTGGCCTCCTCCTACCCTTTCATGAAACTTTACAACACTTAGCCCTGGTAATGTCACGTTAATGTAAAACCATCTGATACAGCTGAGCAGCAGGAGGTAAAACACGGCACAAAAACCAGAAACATTTGATCTATGTTGGTAAACTGTCTGGATAAATTAGAAAGGTTCAACAATAATGAATTTTCTGGCCTAAATCAGTGGATTTTACCAAACAACACATCTGAACTGGAGTAAAAGTTAAACTCATCTTACCGAGTGACGCCAACACTGCAACTGTGATGATGAGGAAAACAACAAAACCATAAAGAACTTTGACAGCCAGCTGCAGAGAATGACTCTGCTGACATCTCACACAGCCTCCTCGAGTCCGACCTGAACACACAACATGTGTAGGACTGGATGATTACTGTGGTGTACATGAGAGAAATATTTAAATTATATGCATTTAGTTCCTTCAGAGTCTATACTGCTTTCTTCTCCTTTTAAAACTAACCTTTATCACATGTTTTTGTTCAGATTCTGATACTAAACAAACAACAAGAAACTTTGTATTTCATGTATTTAAAGCCACACAAACTCATACAGAAGAAGCATTTAAAGCACAACAATCATAAACACAAACACACAAATATAAATATACACACAAAACAGATTATGGATGGATGGATGGATGGATGGATGACGGATGGATGGATGGATGGATAATGGATGGATGGATGATGGATGGATGGATGGATGAATGGATGATGGATGGATGGATGGATGGATGGATAATGGATGGATGGATGGATGGATGGATAATGGATGGATGGATGATGGATGGATGGACGGATGGATGGATGGATGAATGGATGGATGGATGGATGGATGGATGATGATAGATGGATGGATGGATGATGGATGGTTGGATGGATGATGGATGGATGAATGGATGATGGATGGATGGATGGATGGATGGATAATGGATGGATGGATGATGGATGGATGGACGGATGGATGGATGGATGAATGGATGGATGGATGGATGGATGGATGATGATAGATGGATGGATGGATGATGGATGGTTGGATGGATGATGGATGGATGAATGGATGATGGATGGATGGATGGATGATGGATGGATGGATGGATAAATGGATGGACGGATGGACGGACGGATGAATGGATGATGGATGGATGATGGATGGATAGATGGATGGATGATGGATGGATGGATGAATGGATGGATGGATGGATGGATGGATGATGATAGATGGATGGATGGATGATGGATGGTTGGATGGATG